GGGCTGGGACACGGGGACACTGAGAGGGGAAAGGGCTGTGGTTGTGGCCTGGTGGGTACCTGAGGGGCCGGGGGCTGGGACACGGAGACACTGCGGGGAAAAGCGCAGTGAGGGTAGGGGGACACTGCGGGAACAGGGGCTGGGGACAAGGCAGCGATGGGGGGGACAGGGGACAGGGCCTGGGCGCAGGGACAGGGGACCCTCTGCCCAGCAGGAACCGCAGCCAGCGGCGCCTCCGGCCGGGCCGGGATCCCCATCCCGGTGGCGCATCCGTCCATGGGGAGCAGGGCCGGGAGGCTCCTGCGCGTCACCAGCCGGGGACGGAGCCCATCCCCGGAGCACGGGAGCAGGGGCGGCCAGCGGAGCTGTCCCCAACCCCCGGAGCTCCCCCCGTCCAGCCCCGGCCCAGGCCTGTTTCTCGTGACAAACTTCGGTCCCGACGACTGTTTGGTTTCCTGGAAATAAATTTCCTTTTGGCTCTCTTCCCAGTGCCAGCTCTGCTCCCACGGCCCTCGCGCCCGCTCAACGGCTTCGATTCGGCTCTTGGCCGCCCCGGGGCCGCAGCCAGGACATTCCCAACGGGGGGATTTCTGGGATGCTGCGGGACATCCCGGGGGTCATCCAGCCGCACATTCCCGCGCTCGGGAGAAAGGAGCCTCGGCGGCACACGCGGCGTTCGCCTCTGCTGACTGAATTTATTTAGCAAGAAAAACTCCTGGCCGACTCCACCCTGGGCAGCCACTTACAGATAATAAAGTAGAACAGATCGGTCACGTAAGCCAGAAAACAACCTGGGGCAGTTACAACTAAAAAATAAAGTGGATCTGTTTAATTTAAAAGCTCAAAAATAACAAGCCATATGTTTTTAAACATGTAGTAAACACAAAAGCAATATAGTCTATGATACAATGTACACTGTACACACTGGGGAGGGCGGCACGTGGGAAGGGAAGGGGGGTTAGAGTCTCAAGATGCAAAAGGAAATGCCACATCATTTGGAAACAAAACGGGGGAGAAGAAAGAAATCTCTGGAGAGAAGAGAAAATAAACTTCATTATTGGAAAAGAAACGTTAGGAGAAAAGAGGCAATGGGATGGACAGCATCATAAAAGGGCGCAATTAAATAAAGGTTAAAAAAAGCACTCACAATACACAGTGTTCATAATCAGGAGCGAGGAGCATAAGGCAACGATCTCCATAGAAAAAAGGGACCTTCCAAAGGGGTTTATATAGAGATATTTATAGCTATTTATAGATTTTAAATATAAAGTAGGAATGTGCTGTGGAGCCTCTCTGGGCCCGGCTGCACCGGAGTGCCGTCCCCTGGGCGCCCA